GTCATTTTGGGTCCCAGAATGCAGGAAATTGCATCTCAGAATCAAAAAATTTCTGGGGGGGGGGGCATTCCCCGAACTCCTATGCATACTCGGGTCACTGCGTGACCCTCGTACTACAGATATCAGACATCCTCACTACAGTTTGCTCAGAAAAGTGTTGGCATCTCTGTATTTAGCTCCTTGCCACGCAGAAGATAGCAAACTGCCTTTCCGAGCAACACTAAGATGTTCTCCTGTTTTTAATTCTGATATGCCATCTTGTTTTCAATGCTGTCTCTTTCTTTCTCTCTTTTTTGACGCTGACACTCTTATTTTCTGCACCGACATACTCTGGTTTTTGACGCGGACACGCTCTCTTGTTTTTGACGCTGACACGCTCTCTTGTTTTTTACTCTGACACGCTCTCTTATTTTCAATGCCGATGCGCTCTCTCGTTTTCAATGCCGACTCGCTGTCTCGTTTTTCGACGCCAACACGCTCTCTTGTTCTCGACGCCAACACGCTCTCTTGTTTTCGACGCCAACACACTCCTTTTCGATGCCGACTTGCTGTCTCGTTTTTCGACACCAACACGCTCTCTTGTTCTCGATGCCAACGCTCTCTTGTTTTCGAGGCCAACGCACTCCTTTTCGACGCCGACACGCTCTCTTGTTTCAGATCGACCAGTACCGGAGCCTCGTGTTCTACGGTCCGAGCGGAGTCGGGAAGACGTACGTCGCCAAGAAGCTAGCGCAGTTCGTGCAGGAGAAGGAGCAGCAGGCGGGAAACCGCTGTGAGATCACCTACGTGTGTCTGAGCGAGACGTACACGCGCCGCAACCTCGTTAACCTGCTCACCACCAAAGGTGAGGTGTGCGCGCGCGGGGGGGGCTTGACACCCACTCCACAGCCCTTGTAAAGCACACTCGGCGACGATTACAGAAGCGTTATCTCTACTGTAGACACACTGAACACCCACTCCCATAGCCTGCAAAACACACGGTGACGGTACATGAGAGCGTATCTCTACTGGTAGACACACTGAACACCCAGGGCTCACAGTGCTTGTAAAACACACCCTGGTGACGGTTACATGAGAGCGCATCTGCTACTGTATAGACACACAGTGATGGTTACAGGAGCGATATCTCTACTGTAGTACACACTGAACACCCACTTCACAGCCTGTTAAACACACGCGGTGACGCGCTTACAGAGGAGCGTATCTCTACTGTAGACACATCTGAACACCCACTCCACAGCCCTGTATAAACACTGGGCGACGATTACAGAGAGCGTATCGTCTTACGTGGACACACTGAACACCCGCTCCACAGCCCTGTAAACACACTGGTGGTGACGGTTACAGATGAGCGTATCTCTACTGTAGACACACTGAACACCCACTTCCACAGCCCTGTAAACACACCGTGCCACGGTTACAGAGAGCGTATCTTCTTACTGTAGACACACTGAACACCCGCCTCCACAGCCCTGTAAACACACCAGGTGTACGGTTAAGAGAGCGCATCTCTACTGTAGGGCACACTGAACACCGCTCCACAGTCCTGTAAAAACGGGATGACGGTTACAGAGGGTATCTCTACTGGTAGACACGCTGAACACCCACTCACAGCCCCTGTAACACACGCGTCCCGGCTGCGGTTTACAGGAGAGCGTTTATCTCCTACTGTAGACACACTGAAACACCCACTCCCTTTTCAAACACACGGTGACGGCTACAGAGAGCGTATCCTCTATGTAGACACACTGAACAACCCGCTCCACAGCTCTTTGTAAACACACCGCGGTGGGGATGAACGGTTACAGAGAGCGTATCTCTAGCTGTAGCGACACGCTGAACGACCCGCCTGCCACAGCCCTGGTAAACACACTGTGACGGCCTACAGAGAGCGTATTATCTCTCTGTAGACACACTGAACACCCGCTCCACAGCCCTGGTAAACACACGAGTGGTGACCGGTTTACAGAGAGCGTATCTCTACTGGTAGACACCGCTGTCCTCCACAAGTGCTTCCCTGTAAACACACGACTGGTGACGTTACAGTGAGCGTATCTCTACGTGTAGACACACTGAACACCACTCCCATCAGCCCTGTAAAAACACACCGGTCGGTGACGGTTACAAGAGAGCGTTATCTCTACTGCTAGACCACTGAACACCCACTCCACAGCCCTGTAAACACACCCTCATGGGGTGACGGTTACAGAGCAGCGTATCGGCATTACTGTAGACACGCTGAACACTCCGGCTCCACCAGCCCTGTAAACACACGGTGACGGTTAACAGAGAGCGTATCTCTATGATTAGACGCACTGAAAAAACGCCGCCTCCACGTCCTGGTAACACACTGCGGTGACGGTTACAGAGAGCGATATCATCTACTGTGATAGACACACTGAACACCCGCTCCACAGCCCTGTAAACACATCGCGGGCGACGGTTAAGACGAGCGTATTCTTCTACTGTTAGACAACTGAACACCCACTCACCAGCCCTTAAACACACGGTGCACGGTTACACGAGAGCGCGTATCTCTACTGTAGACACGCTGAACAGCCCGCTCCACAGCCCTGTAAACACCCATGGTTGACGGTTACAGAGAGCGGTATTCTCTACTGTAGACACCACTGAACACCCACTAAACCTGTAACACATGGGCGATCGGTTTACAGAGAGCGGATCTCTATGTAGGACACGGCTGAACAACACCGCTCCACAGCCCTGTAAACGACACCCCGGTGACGGTTACACAGAGTCTATCTCTACTGTAGGTACACACTGAACACCCACTAACCTTAGTAAAACACATGGCTGAATGCGTTACCAGAGAGCGTATCTCTACTGTAGACGCATCTGGAACACCCGCGGCCACAGCCCTTGTAAACACACACTGCCCGGGGGCTACGGCTTCGTACCGGGTTGACGGTGACATGAGAGCGTATCTCTACTTGATAGACATCACTCAGTGACGGTTATCAGGGAGAGCGTCATCTCTACTGGTAGACACAACAGTGACGTATACAGAGAGCGTATCTCTACTGTCAGACACACTGAAACACCCGCTCCACAGCCTTGTAAACACACCCCGGTGCGCGGGTGACGGGTTTACAGAGGAGCCGTTCATCTCTACGTGTAAGACACATCTGAACACCCGCTCCACCAGCCTGATAAACACACATCAGGGCGTGGTGGTCCGGCGCGCCGCTGGGCTGTTTCGGGTGCGACGGGTATACACGAGAGCGCGTATCTCTACTGTCGACGACACTGAACACCCGCTCCACAGCCCTGTAAACACACCGGTGACGGTTATGCAGAGAGCGGTATCTCTACTGCTACGACACGCTGAACACCCACTCCACAGCCCTGGGAACAACACGGCGACGGTTACAGAGAGCGCTATCTCTTACTGTAGATCACGCTGAACACCGCCATCTCCACAGCCCTTGTAACAACACCAGCGGGCGCGGGCGCGTCTCCGTGGGGCGGGCCACGGTGACGGTTACAGAGAGCGTATCTCGGGTCGCACCCGTCATTTGCTGGTTTACTGTACGACACAGACTCGCAACACCAGCTCCGACAGCCCGGGTGGTAAAACCACGGTTCACGGACCCCGCCGGGTGACGG